AAGAAAAGCATGATTTCAAGCTAGTTTCTAAGTGTAAAGGTTGGTTTTAGTGTCAATTTTAAGCATGAAAATAACAGTTTTTCAACTGTTATCATCTATCTAAAACAGTTAATTGATGATTTGAAAATGTCAACCGTCCATCTTTATTAACAAATGCCACTATCAAGAAGCTAATGCAGGAATGGGTAGGATATCTTTTGGAAAGATGGAGTTAGGCTAGAATAGTTTACTTTAAGTTCTTTTTGTTTTGATATTGATAGCTTTAGTTTTTAGTTTTGATATAGTTTGAATAGAGGAATTCTGGATATATCAATTGTAAAAACTAGTTTTTTGATTTTTAGGTGTGGTAAAATTAAAACAAATGACCTTGATGTCGGCCCCTACAAAGCCAGCGTCAACTCCTCCCTTCTCATCCCACAAAAGCCACACTCATTGATCACCGCTAAGTAGGAGAGAATTGCGTTGGGCTCCCTATGATGTCGTTGTTGTAAGGGTTTGACGTTAAGTAACGTCAGCTTTATAGGCCGACGTTAATTTAACGTCTCCTAATATGACGTTGGCCTCGTAGTGGAAGTTAAAGGCCGAAAAACATCATCGTCAAAACTCTTTTTTGCATCAGTGTGTCTCTACAAAGCTAGCATCTCCAAGCTACTTGTAAAATGGACAAGTGGAACAACCTCTAAACATATTTGTCACATGATAAGTCGGGCATTCCCATCCCACCAAGTGAAACCAATAGTTTCCTGGTCATGACTACTTAAAACTAAACTTCCTTTAAAGAGTGTTTCCACGTGGTAGAACTTCCTCAAGGAATATAAGATTTTCATGAGGCTGATCTTAAGCTACCATCCACGCACGAATGTAGGTCTTTGAAGAGCATCAAGTTCAATACACGGATGAATGTGATGCTTTTATCTGTAAAAACTGTTCATTCAACTAGATGCAACAAGAAAACTTGTGTGACATACTCCTATTGTTGATTCTCACAATAATCATTATATAGGTCTCTTAACAAACTTAGTCTTACTTGGGGATCACGACATTGCCTGAGCTGAAATGTAGCCCTCGTGTGGTCTGTGCCCAATAGGTCTGTGAGAGTTTCTAAAGTCGCCTTAAAGTCTAAGCATTCATTCAACTATAATTGTTCCACTTTAGGCAAATGTAATAGTGCAAACACATCATCTAGTGTGACGATCATCTCACCAACAGTGACATGGAAAATATTTGTCTCTATATGTCATCTCTCAACAAATGTCAATATCAATCCCTTATTATAGTAATTGTAAGAATATCACATAAAGGCATCAAACAATAATTCTCCAACTTCAACAGGACAACCACTTATGAGCAGATATTATAAGTCTCCTTCTAACTTCACCTTGTCTAAAACTCTCATCGCGATATGTACTTCATGCTCTAGCCATTTCTATAACAAAAAAAAATATTAAAACCAATACACATAATAAATAACTAAACTTAAAAAAAAAAATAAACAAAACAATAATACATAAACCTTATACCACAACAATCAAATGAACCCTAAATGCTATAGCATAAATCCTAACCAAGAAATCGTAAAATCAATAAAATTCAAAAGAAACGAATAAAACTATAAACCATTAATAATAAATTAAAATTAAAATTATATATATATATATATATATATATATATATATATAAACCCTAAACTCTAAATCACAACACACAAAATAAAAAGATTAAAAAAATAACAAAACCAGAATCCACTAAAAATAATTTAAAAGAAGAATTTAAAAAAATTAAAATAACAATTAAAATAAAAATTCTACACGAAAATTAAAATAACAACTAAAAACAAAATACATATTAAAAGATTTCGAAATAATTAATTAGATTTTAAAATCTAGTTTAAGGGTTATTTGATTTGGATATAATAAGAGATTTTGGAATTTGATTAAGGAATATGTCAGATTATGAAATTCAATCAACTTTTTAATCAAATTTTGAAATTTGTTTGAATAGTTTGTTGAATTTTGAAATCTAATTAAGGAATATAATTGATTTCAAAATTTGGTAAACTTTTTTATCGGATTTCAAACTTCTATAGTTTATTGAATTTTAAGTTCTGATAATCAATCTAAATTTGATATTTTTTTAATTGGATTTTGAAATCTAATACAATCCTGAAATTTAAAATCTGATATTCAATCCTAAATCTCCAAATACATAATTTTAAATCTCTAAATTTCTTTGTTACTTACGTTCAATTACGGATTTCGACTAAATATTTACAAATTTAAAAATGTTGTAAACAAATGTGTACTCATGACATGAATGTTTTGAAGGTGGGTTGCAGGGTGCGCTGTGTTGGTGAGGGATGTGTGTTGTGCAATGCTAGATGCAGGGGGTAAGAGAGAGGAAGAAGATTTCTTTGTATGTGGGTGGTGCGATGCTATAGTTAGCAGAGTGAGTAAAAGTGGGTAGGTGAGGTATGTATAAAAAGAGAGAAACTTTGTCTAGAGATTTAAAAAAGTTTGGAGGTGCAGGAAGAAAAATTAATGATGCAGGAAAAAAACCCCTTGAATTTTGCTTTTATATGTAATAAGTGTTTCTTTTGCTCTTTCTCTTCCTTTAAGTCCAAAAACTGAAAAATAGAAAAAATAATAATTTGTATACAGCAATTTAGATCACATTTAAACTATATATGAACCGACGGCTCTGATTATATCCAAGTATCCAATTACAAAAAGTAATGAAAAGAAAATTGAATCTGGATGAAATCTTACAAAAATTCACCAAATCTTTCCTAACTTATAAAAATCTTATAAATTGAGAGAATCACAAATTTCACAAATCATATGTTTACTTTTAATTAAAAATTTAGAATGTAATAAAATTAGAATTAGTTAAAAATAACTATGTACATTAAACTTGAAAAAATTATGACTGAAACAACACATAAATTTTATATTAATATACAAAATTAAAATAAATACGTACTTTGAACTGAAATTGTTACTATAAAATAATGTGTTAGAAACAATATAAAAAGTTATTGTAATATTAAATAAAATTATAAATTTGTAGAAAATATCTGTCACCAAATCACGTATAGTTTAATGAAAAATAATTTGAACTAAGATAATAATGTCATTTTTAGTTTATAATTCAATTAAGTAATGAAATTATTATTTTATAATTACATAACTACGTAAATATTTTATTTCATAACTTATTTTTATATATTACAAAATTTTGCTTTTATTAGTTAAACTAAAAAACTTGTATTTAAATTTCATTTCACGAGAATCATAATTTCTTTAAAATCATATTTTCTCATTTTACAATGACTCGTTCATCCTTTCCAAGATCCTTGTCTTAGAGAGAGGAAAATATATTCTACTAAAATAAAATTCTTTAGAATAAGTTTTTTTCTCTGTATTTATTCTTGGGATAGTTGCTTCTTGGGTTGTTTACATGGATAGGAATATAAGTGTTTGCACGTGAAATTTGACAGGCAAAATGAATCCGTACTAGTATAAGGTCGGAATGATATATTTAGTTTGAAGTTTAGGATTTTATGTCACTACATGTTAAGATCATGTAGAACTTCAACATAAAATAATGATCTTTCAATAGAGAAACTATTATTTAATTGCAAAAAGAAACTGAATTCCATACAACTAAGAAACTCATTGAATCAATCTTACCAAACAACACGACAATATAAGGCATGCAAGACAAACTATATTACATATTTTCAGAATTTGAAAACCTCCTCCAACTATCTTGCATAAAGTAATTAAAACTTAAGATTATCAATTCCATATAGGAAAACCATGCTCGCCTCCAATAAGGATTAATACAGAGAGTTGCAACAATTACCAACAATACCGATGTGTATGCCACAACAAAACTTACATAAAAAACAAGCATGTCAATCGGACTGTTATTGTGTTCGTCATTTGAAGAAACAGCTGGTGATTGTAAACAAGGATGACAACATTTTAGCAATGGAGGTCCACAAAGAAGAGAATTTCCTTCATAGCTACTTTCATCAAAGGTAATAAATTGGCCTTTTTGCTCGGGTGTATCGCCTGNTACAACTAAGAAACTCATTGAATCAATCTTACCAAACAACACGACAATATAAGGCATGCAAGACAAACTATATTACATATTTTCAGAATTTGAAAACCTCCTCCAACTATCTTGCATAAAGTAATTAAAACTTAAGATTATCAATTCCATATAGGAAAACCATGCTCGCCTCCAATAAGGATTAATACAGAGAGTTGCAACAATTACCAACAATACCGATGTGTATGCCACAACAAAACTTACATAAAAAACAAGCATGTCAATCGGACTGTTATTGTGTTCGTCATTTGAAGAAACAGCTGGTGATTGTAAACAAGGATGACAACATTTTAGCAATGGAGGTCCACAAAGAAGAGAATTTCCTTCATAGCTACTTTCATCAAAGGTAATAAATTGGCCTTTTTGCTCGGGTGTATCGCCTGATAAGTTGTTATGTGCAACACTAAATACAGCAAGAGAGTTCAACTGATTTAGTTGATGAGGAATTTGACCACTCAACATGTTGAAAGAAAGATCCAAACTCTCTATTTGTACTAATTTGGAAAATGAAGTTGGAATTTCTCCAATCAAATTATTGTGAGACAAATTCAATGCTCGAATTCTCTTCAAGTTTCCAAGCTCGGATGGAATACTTCCGTTTAGTTTATTTTTGGATAAATCAATCCCAGACATATAAGCAAGGATGCTCCCTGTATAAGTGTAGGACCTTTTCTTCGTAGTGAAGATTGCTTTCTCGTCTATATTAGGTGTCAAAATTTGTGCATAGTAATTATTTTTACGAAAAAAGCCATTAATTTCTTCCCTAAACTTGACAGGGTCATCATTCTCAAGAGGCATTTTACCCAAGCAATTGGGTATTGGACCAAAAAAATTGTTATAAGAAAGATCTAATATACTCAAATCTTCCAATTGGCATATCTGCTCTGGTAAGTGCCCTGTAAAGCGGTTACCTTTCAAAATGAGTATATTCAACCTTGAATGAGCAAGGTCTTCCATCATATCTTGAATGCTACCGACTATTTCATTGTGGCTAAGGTCTAGAATTATTATGGAAGATCTTTTGCTGAACATTCTTTTGGGTAAACCACTGAACATGTTGTTGCTCAAATGAATGTATCTCAGGGAAGCATTGACAAAAGATGGCACAAAACCCATCAAATTATTGTTTGATACATCTAGATATAATAGAGGTTGATGTTCGACTAGGCACGTCGGAATAGACCCTTCAAGAAGATTGTTGGACAATGAAAGCTTAGCTAAGTTTGAAAAATTTCCAATCACATTTGGTAGTTTCCCCACTTAAATTATTATAGCCTAGACTCAAGAGTTGGAGAGATGAGTTAAGAAAGCTATTGGGTATGCTACCATAAAGGCTGTTGTCATCTAAATACAATTCTTCCAAGTATTTCAAAGATGGAAATACAGGTCCATAGAGCCTATTGTGTGAAAGTTTCAAGTTTTTCAGTCGTGACCCATCTCTGGATATGTTTTTTGGAATCTCTCCTGATAAATGATTATTTGATAGATCCAACGTATGCAATAAGCTCATTTTCCCAAACTCACGAGAAATCGAACCTTGGATGTGGTTTCTAGACAAATTTAGATATTGCAAATTTGGTAATACTGAACTAATATTCTTATTAGGGATTTGGCCAGTTATGTTATTGTCAGACACATCAATTCTCCTCATGCTTGTAAGAGGATGTAATGGTAGCTGGAGAACACCTGTGAAAGAGCAATTTCTAACACGAAGTTCAGTCAATTTTGTGTTGTTTTCAAACAACCAGTAAGGAAACAATCCTTCCAATCTACAACTAGAGAAATCTACGCTAGTCAAACTGTTTTGATGTAGAAGAAACATGGGGAGTGGAAGAGAATCATTCCAAGTCATTGAAGGCAAACTAAGGACTTGTAATTGAAATTTTGGAATCCAAGTTTGCGGACTAGGTTGTAAGTCCAATACGACTTTGTTGCCTTTACCATATATGAACTTAAGGTTTGAATGATTAGCAAATGGTGAAAAAGAAAGAGGAACTTCAAATTGGTTTTCTTTAAATCCAAAATATTCAAGTGATGTAAGGCTAGCAATGCTAGAATCAAATTGTCCACTGAATTGATTATATGAAAGTTCCAACTTCTGAAGAGATGTCATGTTTAAGAAAGATGAGGGAAGCGATCCATTAAATAGGTTTTGACTTAGATCTAACTCTTTGAGATTCTTCAGCTTAAACCAATCTGAAATATGAAGTATTGAAAAAAAAATCATCTTATGGATGACACGATGCAAAGGATATAAATTTTCAAGTAAAAAAAGGGTGTAAAATAATGTGATGATTAACTATAAAAGGAAATATAAAAACTATAATGACAAGTCGAATTACCAGCAGGAGGAAGGGGGCCGTTTATTAGGCAAAAAGAAGCAGACAAAACTTTCAAAGAAGTCAATTCCCCAATAGTTTTGAAAAACTCATTGTCAAGGGAAAAGTTGTCGTCGAGTGCCAAGTGTTCAAGGCTACTTAAATCACGAAAATCTGCACAATAGAAAAAGAAGGTATATGAACCTTAATATATCAAGCAAACTAACTTAGAGTAAAATAAAAAGGTGTTTCTACCTCCTGCAGTAATTGTTCCTACTATCACGTTACTATTCATAGAAAGCACCCTAATAGATGAGAAAGGTTGCAGTGATTCCCTCAGTTTGCTTCCATTTATCATATTGCTATCTAAAATAAGGACGTCCAGTTTGTTTAGACTTTTTGAGCCTGAAACTAAAACATGGCCAATAATATTTAATTTGCCAACACATGACAAAACAAATACAACAACTATGCACAGCAAGCAGACCAATTATCACTTTTTTATATCAGTTGCTTTGTTTGAATACCTTGAGGGACAACAAAACTGTTAATTTCGTTACCACTTAGATCAAGAATCTCCAAACTGGTTAAAGCCAATAATCCTGTTAGAAACAAATAGAGAATGAATTGTTATACTCATTCATAGAATATATATAGTACTACTCTTTCTTCGCTCATACAACAGAGGTAATATATTAAAAAAATTCTCTGCCTCAGAGTCTAAGTCCAACCACCATAAAAAAAATAAGTTATACTAACCACTTATATCGAGCAATCCGTTTAATCGGTTTGATCTTAAATCAAGGGATTTGAGAAATTGAAGCCCACTTAGAGATGAGAGAAATTCATTGGAGAAACTGTTTGAAGTCAGCTTTAGGACTTGTAAATTGGGTGGCCACGTAAATCCATCCTTCTCTGATAGAAACAAAATTGACAACATCTAATTATGAGTTTACACACTAAATAAGGAGCATGCTATTTGCATTGATTCGAATCTACTTCGGTAAAATAAAGAATAAGCACAACTAACCTAAACGCCAAAAACTAGTCTCATTCAACTGGTTCCCCTCCATCTCAAGAATCTCCAGAGACCTTATCTTTGATATATCTAGTAATATACATACTCATTACACTCATATATTTTCAACCAAAAAGCATGATGAAGATTTGAAATGTAGGAAGTGTAACATACTAAGAATTGATCTTGGAGTCAATTCACTGTATCCTAAATTTAAAGACTTGAGAGAAGAAAGTCCACTGAGAGCAGATGCAATATCACTGTCATTGAAGTTGTTGTAAGACAAGTCAAGGACCTCAAGATTCTTCAACATAGAGCATAAACCTGCAAGGTAAAGTGTCTTACATACGTATATATATTATCCTGAAGCTATTATCAGTATCCTTAGCTTTACAAATGAAATGGGAAAATTATTCCACCTTGGATATGATTATCTGAGTCAAATTCATTGCCAGACAAATAGAGTTCTTTCAGAGACGTGAATCCCTCGAGAGATGGCAAAATGTCATTAGTCAAATAGTTCCAACTTATGTCAAGGACTTCTAATCTAAGCAACTTCGATGACAGAGTTTCAAAATCTAAAGGAATACACATGTGTTAGTACTCAAAGGTAGTAGAAGAAGCCAACCAATTTTGAAGTAAAAATTAAAAAGATGGTTATCACACATCATCATCATCATTATAATATATATCCTTACCGTTGAATACATTGAACCTGTTGTGTGATAAATACCTGTTGGATGATAAATATAAAGACTTGAGAGATGGAAGGAAATTCAAACAAACTAGAATAACAGTGAAACTATCCAGCTCTCTCTTCACACTCAAGTCAAGGACTTCCAGATTTTCCAACCCTGCAAAGTATTAAAATTAAATGGAAATAATTATTCATTTTTAACATAGTGATCAAGAAATAGAATGTGTAGAATAACCTTCACTGTCCGCACAATCTAATGCCCAATCACTATAGCTCAAGTTGAGACTCTTCAAATCTTTGAAGACAACAAGATCAGCCAAACTTAAACTTAAATTCTGATCTGTTTGGCCATCAAAATCACTCTCCAGGTCATTAAAATCAAGTTTGGCCACTCTCCCTGTGGAGGGGTTGCACTCCACTCCTTCCCATTCACAACAATCTGTTCCTTCCCACTGCCATGACAAAGGTAAGCCAAAACGGGAATTTAGACCCCAAAGAGCTTCTCGCTCTTCCTTCCAATACCCTTCGCACCATATCACTTCCACCAAAACAAAAATCAATAAAGTCACACTAACGTTCTTCATTTTCATCTTCATATTTTGCAACAAAGGATTTGGGCGTTTAAATAAGAATGGACCAATTAAAGTAAACTAATTTATGGCTGAGTGGAAGTTAGTGGCGACCACGGTAATAATGAAGGATGACTTGGGGTCAACCCAAAGGCCGTGATGACTACTGCAGGCAATGTACTTGAAGTAGATAAATCATTCTTGTTTTGAATCTTCCTTCAACTAGTCTTCTCCACTGAGTTTTCATTTTGTTTTTCTTCCATTGAGTCCTCATCAAACTCTGACCCTTAAAATACCAAAATGATATCAAATTCTTATCTAAAATTGTTTGAGGGAACCAATCTAGTCCCTATTTACTGATTGATATTTGGTGTTTGTTCGTGTATTTATTAAAAGAAATTTAGAGATTGAGAAAAGAAAAGGAAAATATTTTTAAGTTTATAATTAAAATAGAATTAACGTAAAAAAGTATTTATAAATTTAGAAATTTAATATATTAGTAAAAATATGAAGGTTTAAACCCTCGGATCGTCTTTATATTTGTTGGGAAATCTCAGGTGGATACTTGTATTTGTAATTGTCTCAATTAGGTCCACATATTTGAAAAATTGTCTCAATTAGGTCCAAATATTTGAAAAATTGAGCCAATTAAGCCCTGTCCGTTAAGTTTTCATAGACTTCGTTAAAAATTTGGTGACATGGTGAACACTTAATCTGCTAATGTAAAACTGTTATATTACGTTGAATTTCTTAACTAAATTAACAATTTTTGACGTGGCACAAAATTGAATTAGTAATGTTAAAAATTTCTTATGATTAGAAATTTTTTAAGTAAATAGGGTTAGAGAAAAGGAATTAGGGATTTGATCAGTGAACATAGTAGACGAACACACAAGAGAAGACAAACAAAGGAACCTAACCCAACAATCAGAATCTTGGTAGCCACCGCGTAGCACTTCCACCGAAACCTCCAAAACAGAAAAATCAAACCAGCCCCAATCCATTCCACACTGCAACACCCAACACCTGTAGTTCCAGGTAACGCTGCCTTCAGGGGTTCTTCCAATTCTGTCGATTGGCTTGGTAGAGAGATGCTCGAGATGAGATTGAAAGACCACGACGAAGACAGGGTTTGTACACTATTACCCTTTTTCATGTTTTTTTTTCATTTTTTTTAATTCAAGAAGCACCATCTCGCAATTCATTTTTTTCCTATTCCATTCTCTTCTTCGTTAACCACTATCAAATGTGCTCGGGACAAAAACACAAGTTTTGTAAACACCTTCTCCTGAAATTTTAATTTCTTTTTTATACCCTTTTTGTTGTTTCTGTTTCAATAGGTTTGCCCCTAGTTTATATTCTACAGGATAGTGAGCCTGACATCATCGATGGTGTGGGTGCTGAGACCGGGCACGTGATAAGAACCAATATCGGTGGCCGAAATGGTCAATCTAAGCAGGTAAAAAAATCAATTTTGGGTCATTTGGTGTTTGACACGAGTTCTTTGTTTGAGTTGACAGAACCCATATGGCTGAAAGCGATGGAGCAGTTAGTCTCGTAATATAGATTCATCTTTTCCCTATTCCATTTCAAAATCCCTCTTTTCCATTTCCTAATTTCCATCTTATCAATCTCTTTCTTTTTTTTCTTCATTTTTCCGATTCAATTCACTTTTTCCCTTTTATTTTTGTCAAAGCTTTCAAATTTATCTAATGTTTTATTTTTCATTATGTTACCAGGGCGACACTTGCAACATTTCCTGCAGTTGCTGGCAAAATTTCGACCATCATCCACGAACCGATCGTCGTCGCTCCCCACCGTCAATAACCATCACGGTCGCCTTTAGCGGAGGGGTCCTTTCCTACCACGATGTTGGCGGAGGGGTCCTTTCTAACCTGATCATCCAATGCTCCTTCCTCTGCTTGGGTCGTATTCGGTGCAAATGAGTGGTGCATTGGAGTTGAAGAGAATGCTCTGTAGGATTCCAATTCATCTTCTCACACTGACCAAATCAATAATTCTCTATCTCTAACCCTATTTCATTAAAAATCTCCTAATCCAAAGAAATCCCGAATTTGAACAATTAAATAATATAACATAACATGTCATATAACACTTATACAATACTTAATAACAAATTAAATAACAAACTCCACATAATATAAGACATATACATCAGTAGATTAAGTGTGCACCACGTCAACAAATTTTAACGCCGTTTGTGAAAACTTAACGAACAGGGCTTAATTGGCCCAATTTTTGAAATATATGGACCCAACTAAGACAGTTGCAAAAACGAGGACCCACTTGAGATTCTCCAACAAATACGAGGATGATCTGAGGGTTTAAACCAAATATAAATAGTAAGCTTTGTAAAATATATGCAAAAATATGGAGTAAATTCTATATATATATATATATATATATATATATATATATATATATATATATTAGTCTAATGTATTAATATAATGTATAAATATAATGTATATAGCTAAACTTCTCTAATAAATACATTGATAAATTCATCTAATAAGTATATGTTTATAAATAGATCATACACTAAAGGGAGGGAGAAGAGGAACGGGGGAGGTAATTGGTTTTTATTTATTTTTATTTAATTTTTAAAAATAGATTTTACAATATTTTTAATCAACTATCAAGTTACATTTGAGGTGTTAAGTATTAAGTCTTTATATCGATTTGATTCATACTTAGCATTAATGCATGTTGAAATAATCTAATCTTGATCTATATGTATATCTACTGAAATTGTGAACAATTTCAGTAATCTTGAATGATCACTTTGATAGTTTTTGTATTCAAAGTTTGACCACATCCCATTCAAGAAGATTTACTTTATTTAGTTTATTGTACATATAAATTTTAAACAACATATTTTATATTTCAAAAAAACTTGTCAACATTTTGCATTGGTCTTCATATTACACAAAATGAAAGTGATTATAAATCACAATCAAATATGCAGCCAAAGATCAATACAAAACACAGCTGCAAATATTCATGAATTTTAAGACATTTATATTAAAATTTATATGCACCAATAAATTATGAAAAAGTGATTAATTCTTAAGTTGTTTAACCAGATAATTCAAGATTCAATACTTATAAATTATTAGTATCGTCCTCTTTTATGTTCATTTTTAAAAGTTACATTTCTTAAAAAAACTTAGAGACAGTAAATAATTTTTTTATCGAATCTCAAACGAGAAACTAAGGCTAACTCAATACACCAATATATTTAAGCATATAATTAACCACATATCCAACATATAAAAATGAATAACCTACCACACAATTATAGAGTCATATTAAAAAACTAAAATTTAAACATAATAATAGGAACTTGAGAGCGTGAAAGGTGGACAACAATAGAGAATGATGCAACTACTTGCGTTTGGGAACGATACGAAATTCCACCACAAAAATACAATACTTGGACACAAATACAAACAATATATTAGTCTCAAGAACCAAAGCAAGCACAAAAATGCACAAAAAATGAAAAGAATCGTGCTCACCACCACGAAGAAGACGAACAAAGAAAGTCAAGAACGAACAAAGGAAGAGATGTGTGATAGTAATAGTAACGAATAAAGAAGACGACATTGTTGGAACAATGATGATGGCGTTTTGGTTTGGAGAAGTAACGGTGGTTGCAGCAGTGCTGGTTTGTTCGCAAAGGAAGAAGAAAATTGTTGCAGTGGGTCATTTATAATTTTTGCAAAAGTTTAACCTTGGAAAGAGATATTGCCTCGATTATTTTAATAATCGATGCAATAACTACCATATGGCCTCGGTTTTACTAATAACAACTGCTTCCTAAAGTCATTCAAAAAATTAAAAAGTTAAAATTTTTAGTGGCAATTTTGAAATTTAAAACATACTTTTGGCTTCGGTTCATAATAGAACTGAAACATAAAGCCATTACCGAAAAACCGAGACCATAAATGTTGTTTAGAAAAGTCACTTAATAAAATAATAAAATCAATGGTCAGGTTGAAATGACCTATGGCAGCAGTTCTGTACAAAATTAAAGCAATAAGCTCTGTTTAGAAAGGTGTTAGATAAAATTCTCAATGTTAGGTAAGGAATGTCAGATTTGCGAGACCATATGGCAACGTTTCGGTAAAAAACCAAAGCCACATACCCTACTCAGATAGGTGTTAGATAAAAATCTCAATTCAGGGGATGGATGTCAGTTTTACAGGAACCTATGGTAGCAGTTTTGTAAAACCTGAAGCCATAGGTGTTGTTCAGAGTTTAAAATATCATTTTTATCGAAATTTTTATATTATTTGACACTCATTTAGGATTCAATTTTTTAACTGAAGTAAAAAGGTGCCTATGGCTTTGTTTGTGCAGTGAACCAAAGCTTATATATTCATAAAATTTGTAAAAATGCAATGTCTTTTTATGTTTCGGTTTCTTGAAAACCTAACAGTATTAGGCTAATTAGAAGACTAGTGAATGACATACCTAATCTATTACATCTTTTCTTTTATGTTATTGTAATTTTTTTATTTTTACATTTTTTTTTCTTTTCTAATGTTGTCATAAATATCTATACTGAGTAACTATCACAATCCATATTTTAAAAATCCTGCCTTTATTTGAAAAACTCAAGTATGTAGAGTTCTTCTTATTCATTAACTCTATTAGCTCGTTCTAAATTTTCTTCTTAGTTTACCTTTGTTTTCATAAAATATTTTGATGTTAATATATAAATATGATCTCTTTTCTTCTCTCTTGCTCCAATTCCCAAAGTTTTACTCCACTCAAGCAAAATGAGATAGTATAATTTAAAAAGTCATTCCTGTTTGGGGATAGGAAAATAAAGCTGAGGACAAAGTAAATGGAGTTATGCAGTCAACCCTTATACCATTTAATTGTAGTACTTAATTCTTTCCTACATCAACATTAACTCTTTTTTAATGTATCAATCCACATGGAGCCAGAACTAGAACTTCAACATAAAATAATAAAAAATAAAATAATGATCTTTGAATAAAAATATTATTATTTAATTGCAAAAAGAAACTGAATTCCAAATAAATAAGAAACTCATGATTGAATCAATCTTAGCAAACAACACGACAATATAAGGCAACAAGAAAAACTATATTACATATTTTCAAAATTTGAAAACCTCCTCCATCTATCTTGCATAAAAGTAATAAAAACTTAAGATTATAAATTCCATATAGGAAAACCAGGCTCGCCTCCAATCAGGATTAATGCAGAGAGTTGCAACAATTACAAACAAAACCGATGTGTAAGCCACAACAAAACTTACATAAAAAGCAACCATGTCAATCGGACTGTTGTTGTCTTCATCATTCGAAGAAACGGTTGGTGATTGTAAATAAGGATGACAACTTTTTAGCAATGGAGGTCCACAAAGAAGAGAATTTCCTTCATAGCTGCTTTCATCAAAGGTAATAAATTGGCCTTTTCGCTCGGGTGTATCACCTGATAAGTTGTTATGCGCAACACTAAATACAGCAAGTGAGTTCAACTGATTTAGTTGATGAGGAATTTGACCACTCAACATGTTGAAAGAAAGATCCAAACTCTCTATTTGTACTAATTTGGAAAATGTAGCTGGAATTTCTCCAATCAAATTATTGTGAGACAAATTCAATGCTCGAATTCTTGTCAAGTTTCCAAGCTCAGATGGAATACTTCCGTTTAGTTTATTTTTGGATAAATCAATTCCGGACATATAAGCAAGGATGCTCTCTGTATATGTGTAGGATCTTTTCTTCGTAGTGAAGATTGCTTTCTCGTTTATGTTCGGTGTCATAGTTTTTGTATTGCTATTTATTGCATGAAGAAAGCCATCAAATGCATACCTCAACGAGCGAGGGTCATCCTCAAAAGGCATTTTACCCAAGCAATTGGGTATTGGACCAAAAAAATTGTTATAAGAAAGATCTAATATACTCAAACCCTCCAATTGGCATATCTGCTCTGGTAAATGCCCTGTAAAGCGGTTACCTTTCAAAATGAGTATATTCAACCTTCTATGCGAAAGGTCTTCCATCATATCTTGAATGCTCCCGACTATTTCATTGTAGCTAAGGTCTAGAATTGTTAGGGAAGAACTTTTGCTGAACATTCTTTTGGGTAAACCACTTAACATGTTGTTCAAATGAATGTATTCCAGAGAAGAATTGACAAAACATGGCACAAAACCCATCAAATTATTGTTTGACACATCTATATATAACAGTGGTTGATGTTCGACTAGGCACGTCGGAATAGACCCTTCAAGATGATTGTTGGATAATGAAAGCATAGCCAAGATGACTTGAGTAGTAAAATGTTTTTTATTACTTACGTCACATGGAGTGTTGCTGTTTTGGCTAAGTTTTTATTTATTTGGCTTGTCACAGAACATGGCCCATTTTCCCAACCATCATGGATGGATGTATGATCGTTGTTATAGTGGAAGGAGAGGTTTGAAGGAATCTTTTGTCATCAGAGTTGAAGAGTTTGTGGAGACGGCCCCACGATATCAATACTATGCTCTTGATGGAGGGATTCGATGTCCATGCATCAAGTGCGAATGTACAAGGATTTTGAAAGATGAAGT